TGCATGTACGTGTGCAGTGTTGGGAGGAAGGCAGGCCTCTACCATGTCACACCCCCTCCCAAATCTGACTCCTCCATGTCCTCTTAGGGAGCAGCATCAGCTCCCCCACAGTTGTGGGCCAGGACTCCCCAGAATCCCCAATCTCAGATGTCCAAGCCCCACATATAATGGGGTACAGAATTTGCATGTAACCTACACAAGTCTCTACTTGTGCGTGCGTGTGTGCCGCTGCAGCTTGAACCCAGGACTTTCACACTGAGCTCCACCACAGCCCTTTGTAATTTGTCTTCATTTTGAGACAGGGTCTCACTAAGAGGCCAGGTGGCCCAGGTTGGGCCCAAACTTGCCGTCTTCCTGCCTCAACCTCCTAGAGTGCTGAGATTACAGGCCTGTACCACGATAGCCAGCCACATCCTGTCTACTGCAAGTAAATCTTCCCGATCATCTCCAGGGTACCTAGCACAACTGACTCTGTGCTCCTGCTATGTGAGCAGCTGCTCCACTGTATGGCTGGGGAGCACTCACGAGAAAGTCTGAGAGCTTAATACAGACACAATTTTCCCAACTCTTGTGTATGGTTGGCTGGATCCCCCAAAGCCAGGCCCTTGTGGACAGAGGGCTAGCTGGCTACCTGTTACCAAGGCCGTACCTTTCTGTCTCTTCGCACCCCTGGGGAGTGCGTGGTCTCTGTAAATGTCTGGTGCAGCCTCACTAAGCAGCAGGCGGCTGAGGGATGAATCCCACACCTTCCATCCCTGTGTCTCTGGCTCACTAGGTGCAAAGTCCCCAGGCCTGAGGCGCCAGCAGTTTGCCCATGGGCCAGTATCTGTGCACCACCAGGCAGCTGCAGCCCAGTCAGGCCCATGCCGCCTGGTCTTAAAATTTTCAGAGGGAACCAGGTATCTAGATTTTTATGTGAATCATCATTATTTATTTATTTTGGTACTGGGGATCAAACTCTGGTCCTTGTACTTTCGAGGCAGTTGGCGGCACCACTCTTACTGATTACTATACCACACATTAAAAAACTTAATGGAGCCAGGCATTGAGCACACACCTGCAATCCGAGCATTCAGGAGACTAAGGTGGGACAGTGACTGGACTAGAGACCCCACCTCAAAGAAAACCACAAAAAAACATTGGGGGTGTCTGGGATTTAGCTCAGTAGGACGGCATGCAGCTGGCAGGTGATGCAGGTCCTCACGGGGTGTCAGCGTTGGTCATGGAGCCTGGCTGCAGGGCTGTCTGTCCCGTGGGGACCACACCCAGAGCTCTGCAGCCCGGAGTCCGAAAGCCAAGGGCTGCCTCTCCAACAGAGGGTTCAGGAATTCAGGGGCACGTTCTAAAGCCACTGGGTTTCAGCGTGGTGGTAACCAGCTGCAATTTAAAACAGGGCCCAGTGCATGCATTGTCCTGAGCTTCAGACAGGACAGGCGCCTGTGTGCTGGACAACGTGAATATCTGACCAACCTCTCCGCGCTTCCCAGGAAAACTGTGTGACGAAGGAATCACATGTGTCTCACCAGCCTGTGCTCCCAGGCTGCAAGCTGAGTGTCAGAGAAGGGAATTTGTCCTCTGATGAGGCACTGACGATTCTCAGAGACCAAAGAGTGCACAGATAAGGAGGTCCTGGAGGTCAGCTTCCCTCTTGGTCTGCAAAGTGCCCAAGTGCATGCAGATAGCAGGACCGCCATACCGTTTGGTGTAAGGGCTAAGCTGTCTGCTGAGCCATCTGTCAGAGGTGCAACTCAGTACCAGAAGGTCTTCCTGGGCACGCGTTTAAACACTTACTTTACCAGCGTGTGAGCACAGATCCAATTACTCCTTCTGTGTCAGAAGCATTAACAGTGATGCCATCCCACAAGCGTTCACCAAGCATGTGCCAGGTGCTGTGTGAGACCCGAACCAGGGACATAGCTCCTTCTGGTGAGAGGACAAAGAGCAGGCATGTGAATAACTAAGTGCTTTAGAGAAAAGCAGGGCTGAAGAGAAGGGGATGTCCAGCCAGGGTGTGGGGAGGACAGCATGTGACACGGGGGATCAGCTGGGCAAAGGCCTGGGGCGGTGTAAACTCCACCAAGGCAGGACACAGAAAGGCCAGGAGGGTTCCAGGATCCCAGGATGGGCCAGAAGAGGTTGGCATGAGCCAGGTCCCCAGGAGGGAGGCAGATCGGAACTGCTGCAGGGTGGCAGGAGGGCAGGGTGGGGGACACACACGTCCTCGTCCTGGTGTCACTACCTGAGCTACACATCTGGAACCCAACCGCGAAGTATCAGACAACCCAGCCAAGGACTGAGCTCGTTACTTTCCCTGACTAGGCAACTTACACCCAAGCTTGTCAACTTGCAGAGAAAAGGTTTGTTCCCTTGAGGCCTCTTGTCAGTGATCCCAGCCCAGCTGCTTTAGGGCAGCGGGAACCAATGGGGAGCCAGAGAGTGAGGATGGGCCCAGGGATGCCCCCCCCCCCGGAACCAGGGACCTAAGGGGACCCGGGTTGGCTCCCGGGGCATCAGGGAGCAGGGCAATCAAGGACTGCAGAGGAGCCCTTCACCACCCTCACAAGGCCGCTCTCCACACAGGGACTGCAGCGGTGTGAGGCAGAAGCACAGAGGGGACACTGAGTTACTTCCTGCCAGTATTCCAGAGGGAAACACACACAAAAATCATACATACGCACGTATGTGTGCATACAGATGGGGGCAGCAGGAGGGGAAGTGATGGAGAAACGAGCTGCGTGTGGTGGCACATGCCTGTGATCCCAGCACTCAGGAGGCTGAAGCAAGACGATCACCATGAGTTCCAGCCCAGCCTGGGTTACACAAGTGAGACCCTGCCTCAAAAGAAAAAAAAAAAAAAAAAAAAAAAAAAAAAAAAGACATGGAAAACCAAGTAAGCTGACATTTGGGAGATGAGAAAAGGCAATCTGAGTCCTTGTACTACTTTTGCAGAATTTCTTTCACTTAAAAAAGAAAAAAAAAAAGCATAGAAGCATCGCCATTCCTATTCAGTGTGCTTTTGTCTATTTGAGATAGGGTCTTGCTATGTAGCCCAGCCCGGGCTTGAACTCACTTGCATGGTCCTGCCTCACTCAGCCTCTTGAGTGCTGGGATTATGGGTGTGTGCCTGGCTTGAAACTTTTTTCCCCAAGTCTGTACATATTTCCCTGTATATCCGGCTGCCAATTTCTCTCCTTCTCCCTCTTCGTCCTCCCCTTCTGGAATTTCTGTGGGGATTAAACTGCGGGCTGCCCACATGCTACATTTTTCAGTTACAATCTAAGTGGATGGCAAAAACGAACCAATGCCTGTGAACTGCGGAGCCAGGGGTAGACACCGTCTAGCGCGCTGGCAGGCAGAGCACCTATGCTCAACATACTCCTGCCTCAGGCTAAGACCCTGGTCTTCACGAACAAAGTTTAGACCAGTTAGTGACTCCAAAAGCCACCCGGCAGCCGTGCCGGGAGAAGGGAGAACTACCGCTCTTGGCGACGGACTTCCCGGGACTTGGTGCAGCACCACTGATGTTCTTACCGCCCAGGTTACCGCTGCAAGGCCCTTCGGTAACAAGACCGAGGTACCGCAGGTAAAAAAAGCTCCTCCGACCCGAGTGTGGTGCTCTGTGCAGGACCGACCCAGCCCTTACCAAGGGGCGACCTTCATTACTTCAGAGGCTACAAAATTAAGCTGTGCGAGTAAAGGCGGCCTCCACGAGGTAAACGCTTCCCCCTGAGGCTGCAGCGCCCGAGGCCGGCGGTCTACACCGCACGCCCGGGCGCCTCCCTCTGTG